TGGTCATTACAAATACAGTCTAGTTATTTAACAACAAGAGCATAAACACTTCAATGTACCCAAATAGAGGATTTTAAAGATTTAGTCTAAGTGCTCTGTTATGGTTTTATGTTGATAAATCTTGGATTTATTTCAATATTTCCAACCCTAACTTACCACATATACAACTGGGTTTAAAGCTGGACTATGGTAAATTTTTCAGCATGGCATCCAGCTCCAGTCATCAACAGTTGGTGTCCTGCATGTTTTAGATCCTTACCTGATTGATCAAACCCAAAAGAAAAAAAAGGCTTAATTACCAGGACTTTAAACTGAGGAGGTAATTCAGCAGGAATTGATGCATTAGAAACATGCAGAAAAGCGGCTCCTGATGACTGGAGTTGGACAGTCCGGGACTAAACCATCCATGGTTGCTCAGGCTGGATGTTCAGGTGGGTTGTGCAGCTGTAGGGTGAACCTCCCAGCCTGAACTTGGTCCTGTTGTGATCTTGGCACTGGCTTCATTAGTCATTTCATTCACCTGCTTAGCTCTTCCCAGTTTCTCATTAGCGTTCATCTAATCCAACTGCTCCAGCTTCTATTTAACCAGCTAATCTACTTTTTGCTTTAAAGTCAGTGGCTTTAATGTCCGAGTATAGAAAAGACTGTACAAATCAACATGTGGCTGGTAGTTCCTGTCAGCAGCTTGAGACAGTAAACGCTCCTTCAGGCCTACAGGTACCTCAGAGAGGAAGTCTGCGTCTTCCAGGGGAAGCCCATCATGGCCAGGATAAAGACCAAAACCATACCCATCGCCTCCCACGTTCCTAAAAACGTATCAATGCCCGTTCGGCTGGAGCCGTGCAGCAAACATTACTGGTCCTACTTTCCACCGACAATGTTCGACCCATCCTGCCTTCAGCAGGCCTCCACACAGACTACGCTTGAGCCAACCCACCAGGAGTGGACCGGCGCTACAGATGGATACCAGGAGATCACTGAGGTGAGAGCAGAACCGTGGTTCATGACCTGGACCCCTCTGTTTTGTGTTTGTGTCTCTATGGTACTGATCGGGTCATGCCTGCAGTCTCAGTTAGCGATGGATGGATTTCCAGACCCTCCTACATGCAGAATGCAAACAGAACAAAAGCAGAGGTACTGCCATCTTCTAGCAGCTGTCCGTTTCTGAGACCATCATGTTAGCCGGGTGTTTCTGCTGTCTGACCTGCAGGAGAGGCTCCAGGTGTCTGAAAGATGGACATGGTGAGGATTCACAACCCTCAGAGCAGCCGTCTGAAGGTTACGATCCCTCTCCCTTCCAGAAGAAGGGACATGGTTGGCAGAGAGGGAGGCTGCGTCAACAGAACCAGGGGAGGCGATCAGAACCCAACAAACAGGTTCTAACGACTTTTTCTGACCAGGGAAGGTAACACGACATGACGCTTTTTTCTGTGTGCTGTTGTAAAACCACACGTCCTGAACCCTTTTTTAAAGGATGTCAGTTATTTTAAAGCTCCATTTAGTTCAGTTTTTAGATCACTGCAAACCAAAGCTAAACAGCAGGCGTGAGGACAGCTGGACTCCTGACCTGTTCAATAGTTATGGTCAGGAATCCCCAAAGTCGGTCCTCGAGGGCCGCTGTCCTGCAGGTTTTAGAGGTTTCACTGCTTTGGACCGACTTTGGGGATGCCTGGCTAAGGTTCTAATGCAACCTTACAGCTGGAGAGTAACAGAGAATCATGCTGCTCCTGCTCTTTATCTGTCCTAATGTAAGAGAAGCTGCTGAGGGATTCTGTCACAATGGGGGGGAGGTTTTGAGGACCCAAATGCAGAGATCAGGAGGCTGAGGTGGAGTATATAAGGGGAACAGAACAAAGTGAGCTGAATTAGGAGCAGGTGTGAGTGGAACTGACTAGAAGGAAGCCAAGGGGAAAGGAAACAAGCACAAGGGGGCAACAGAGAGTAACTTAAGAATGCTTGAATATAATGGAAAATAAAACGAAGATCAACAAAACAGAACAACTGATAACTGAAAACTAAAAACTCAGAGTCCCAAAAGGGGAGAACCATAACAGATTCAAACCCAGCTAAGGTTTTGATTTAAGATGGACACAAACTCCTCTAAAAGGAAAACCGTTTATTCTCATAGAACAAATTCATCTCTCTTGCAGAGTTGAAATAAGGTCCAAACTCAGCCAGGAAAAAAACATGATTTAATCTAACCCAAACATTTATATATTTCTACAGAGCAAATTCCCAACACGTCATCTCAAAGCTCTTTACAGAGACATTCGAATCAGATCATACAATCAGACTGGGTTTAGGAAGGTGAGGTAACTTTAAATGTACCCTGCGGACATATTCAAACTTAAATCGATTTTCTTCCTTTTGCAACAGAAAATATATGTTTG